AATTTGTGTGGAAATTTAATAATTTCGCGGGGTCTCGGCTTTACGGCGTATTATGTTTTGTCTTCTGGCAAAATCAATGACTTTTTTGAAATTAACAAAACATTTTATCACACCTTCATTGTTTTATTACATATTCTTAATCAATATACATGTTTTTCTTTTCCTAGGTGCATACTGAAAGCATGAACCATGTTGATTTAGTTTTGCACATAACAAAGCACATATGGTATCATTTCCTAATTCAGATCTCCCTTCTGTCTGGATGTTCTTCAACATGGAAAATGTTCTCTCAGAGTCAGCATTACTCACTGAAAGTACCAAACATGCCTTCATTAGCCTACACAACAACCAAACCTAAGATCATTCTCAAAGGGTTCTTTAACTGCATGCCTTTTGATATCGTACGTAGCACCCTAAGCTACCGAAAAATGATTGGTACACAGTTTACAATAGGCATGATCGGGTCCAATATTACTCTTCTGAAGCCACTCATAATCTTATTCCCACGAAGCATTGTACTTACAGGCATACTTTTTCTTTTTTGACGATGAACACTAAAATAACGAACGTTTCCTCGGGTTAGAAGCCATTTGTGAAAGTGAAATGACAAGCGCTACGATCGGGATTATATGCATTGTAGTAACAGTGAACAGTACTCACCTTTTGAATTTGCCAGGCTGGTTCCGAAACAGGGACGCCATTGTGAAAACAAATCACTTAGTATACAGACTTTACCTACAACTGAAACCTAAACTTCCGAGAGACACGAACAGAACATTTCCGGAAGTACAGAGATCCTAATAAAAGACGCGGATGCGGGTGATTGCGGGTCATATTTACGGAATGCGGGAGATACGTATGACCCGCGCGGGTCATAAGATCGTCGCGGGTGATAGGTTCATTTTGCGGGTGTGACCCGCAGAATGCGGGTCATTTAGCAAGTATGATTAGGTACTAAATATAATAAAATATATTTTGTTGCTGAAAAGAAGTAAACGATAAAATACAATGATATTGAAACCTGCACAAAAAGAAAGCGGTCCATTGTCCATATGAACCAAAATACTCACATCTTTTTTATAGGTTTATAGATAGTTCCTCATATCAGTTGTTTCTAATGTTATGACCAACTTTCATTTGTTAGATTAAGTGGACAGAGGTGTACAAAAGATTGGCAGATGTGATGCTGATTGGTTTGACAGCTGCCAACAATTTTCTGCTAAATTGCAACATTAAATATAAGCTATAGGGAACCTATGAACACTTTTAAGTTGGAATTATATATATAAATAACATGATTATTATGCATATTGTATATCAGTAGTCGGTATTTAAAGTTAAGCATATATACTTAATATTTTGGCTTTTTTTAACAGGTAAAAATTGCTCACCGAGAGCAAGTTGGTCTGACCATCGAAGTTGATGACATAACAGAATATGACCCTGATCTGGGCGAAGCTATTGTGGATAATACCAGACGATACATCAACATATTTAGTGATGCCGTTCAAGAACTTTTGCCTGACTACAAAGAGAGAGAAGTAAATATTAGAAGATGTCAAACTAAGATCATTGAAATTCCATAAGTTTTTCATTTCCTCCGGAAAAGTTTCTTGAAGTCAGAAAATAAGTGCAGGTCTAAAATCAATAGGTAATCCATAATAAAGAAAATAATGGGACACATTCTTGCTGTAGCATAGTATTGTTTCAAAAATGGCTAAATGTTGTAACTGCATACATTCCATTTTCTACAAAGAAAAAGTAACGATTGAATTAATTATGCCTATTTTGAATTCAGCAAAGAACAATATGACGAAGAATTTCAAGCCAGATAGATTAATTGTGGGATGTGAAATTCTATAATATGTATTGTTCCTTAATTTCTTCTTCAGGTTGTGAATAAAGATGCTCTGGATGTGTATATTGAGCATCGTCTTCTCATGGAACAGAGGAACCATCCTGATCATGGAGCAGAAATTACTCGCGACCCAAAAAACAAATACCCTCCCGAGTTGATGAGGAGATTGTAAGTATTCCTGAAAAATAATGCATTTGTACAAATTATGACAAGACTTAAAAAAAAAAAAAATTAAAGTTCAGAACTTCTCAAAAAATTCAATTTTTAGCTAAGGCGTTAGCTGCCAGCTATTGGTATTACTTTAGTTAATGAGCTCAAGATATTCATAAATGTCGTTTTCACACAGACGCCTCTAGCGGTAACCACTGGTACTAAATTGAATCATATAACGGACCTACTGTCTTTATTATGCGTAACTTTGGACTCAAATGCACTTGAATGGCTTGTAAATATCATTCCTTTCCTTTGTAGAACATATGATCTTATCACAGCGTCGTATTCTTATTAAAAATGCACCCTGTTTATCTCAATCGGGAACAGCCACTTGACTGAAGGTCATGCATGCTACACGCAACTTCCGGTAAAAATACTTTAGTTAATGAGCTCAGATATTCATAAACGAGACATAACGTCACCTATCAGTAATACTAAACAAACTGCAAATAAAATCCATTACCACGGACTCAAGTTCACTCACAAGACATTGGATATAATCTTATTCTTAGTTAGAAATAAGTATCCTTCTATAAAATTCGTATTTACTCTTGGAACTGTCGCTGGATTAACCCTTTACACGGAAATATTGTCCTGTGATTGGCTAAAATTGGTGACTCTTGCATTTACGTCCCTGTTTACATTTATATATTGCGTGGTCAGAGCTATGAAGCAGTCCTGTTCCAACTAACTGAGGAAAATTAAAAGTGCTAATCTGTAATAATATATATGATTCACGCTTCATATGATTATAATGTTATCAAAATATTGCATATTCGTTCATCGTTGAAATAACAAATCCTTACTAAAAACTCTAAAAACAGAAACGACGGCCATGTTAGATCCCGCGTGGATGTTATCGCAATTACCCGTTTCCTTATATGGCCTTCACGGCCAAATATAGAATTACTACTGATGCCGTCATGTTTACTACAATTTCCATATTTGGTCATGACACCCATATTTAGACGTCTGACCTATATCGGAAGACAGACGAAGTTTCCAACATGGCAGTCAATTAAGATTTCGCTTGCACTTGTTACGTAAACTTGATAATTTACGACATATAAGGCGGAGTATAACTTACAATTATGTAGGAGATCAACATAAAAAGTTCATATTACAAACCAATTATCCCTTAGGCTGCTACGCACAACAATAGTCGTTTTGAAAAGTCGGGCCGTCAGTGCTACGCACGACTATAGTCGTTTCTCGGTCTGTAGGCTTTGATCGGTAGCCAGGAAGTGTGAAGTCGGGTTGTTGCTATACCAAACCCGAACGCGTATAGTAGAAGGCTTCTGATTGGTTGTTTTGTCATTACTTTCGATATTCACGGCAGTGTACCCTAGTAATAACCAAAGGTGTGCGAGAGAATTTCAAATTGAAAAAAAATCATAAAAATGGCGGACGTGTAGATTGAAGCGATGAATATGATGGTGAACATTTATTCTCCAACGTCACCTACGATGATAATAAAGGTTTTAAAGAGTTTGGCATGGTTGATGTGGAAATACTTAGGTGTTACATAATATGTAACGTTCCAGTAAACGGCTTTGTGCTCTACGCAAACAGGAAAATATCGGCGGACCGA